GATCCATTTACTAATCGAATATATCAAATAACTGTATTTTTGTGCTGGCATTTGTAATTTACCAATTGGAAGTGAAAAACCTCTGAGTATTCGTGTAAAGATCTAATATTTAAAAAAAAATATTAATAAAATTTAAAAAAAAAAACTACAATAAACAAATTTCATACTTGTGACATCCAAGGTTCCCAATTAACATATCCAATATTATACCAAGCAACACATGAAAAAAGTATTGTTAGACGCTATATATATATAAATAATATAAATAAATATCCAAAAAAAAAAAATACAATCTTACTGATTCCCATTCTGTATCATTGTATACACTATCCCATATATCAAAAAATTCGGATAACCATAATCTAAAGTAAGAATACAATGTATATCATATTAATATAAAATTAGAAAATAAACAAACTTAAATCCTTGATTATGAAGATTTGGTGGTAAATGTACAGGTAAGAAAAGTTCAAGCATTCGAATATTATTCGAAAATGTCCAATCAGTTGGACAAAGACGTGGACGAAATTCATCGAGAATTTCTTGTGTCGCTGTTGCCGAAAAGTATGGAGAGCAATAGAATATACAGGAAAAAAAGGAATCTTTTATATCTCTGAAAAAAAAAAACCTTAATATTCTTGATTGTAACAAGTCATCTACGAACTTAGGCAGTATAACCAATCCAGCAGTTTGATCATGATTATCAAAAACTAGTTTAGCCCAATGATCAAGTGTACGCCAATCGATTGTCAATTCGTCTCGAGTTATCAGATAAGTTTTTCTAAAAACAAAAAAAACATTATGATAAGATTTTAAAATTTGATTCTATTTGTTTTGTCTTCATTATAGAAAACAAGAAATAAATACGAACCGTAAAAGTTCGTACAATCTGTCAAAACATATTTGCGCATTGGAATAACTTAAATCAGTGATAGAAAGAATAGACAAATAAAAATCGATGAGTTTGAGATGTTCGACTTTAGTAAAATTGAATCCATAGAGTGAAAGAAAATGTTGTAATTCATATGACCAAATTGCAAAACCAGGTTGTAATTCACCCATTTGAATGATACGTGATAGATTCTCTCGAATTTCTTCGAACCATGCTGAACCTCGTTGATTAATCGATTCACAAAATGGTAAATATTGATTATAAAAAGTAGGTTTCTGTAATTTGATATTGTCGATTTGTTGCGCTTCAATATCTGTTATCTGCATTTCTTCGACAATATTCATATTCATATATGAGATTAATGAAAATAATGTAAATTTTATTATGAATTTTTAAAACCTAAAATAAATTTTAATTGAATATCTGGAAAGACATACAATAATTAATAATCCATTTCGCATAAAGAACATCACAAGAACTATTCGTGTAAACAGAGGAGAAAGAAGAGTTGGATTAGAAACATTGATGAAGTTTAACTTTTAAACGTTATAAAAATTAGTTAGTTTTGTTCTAGACTATCTGAGATATTTCATTAATGTTGTATCTGCATATCGAAACAATCGATGTTAATCTTTTCTAAAGAGAGTTTGTTACAATAACATACGAGATCAACAGAAAAATTTCAATATTTGATTGGTATATGTCAAATGAAAAGTCTCATTTATCCATACTCAAATTTAAAATCATAATAATTTTCATTGACAACCTTTATCAGAATATTTTATTTTCATATGAATTTGAAATCATTGAGAAAACTATTACAGAAGATTAAAAAAAACTAAAGATACACTTACGTTTGTATCGATTTGACTGATGCTCTTTGTTTTATTTTTTGTTCTTTAACCGACAGTGCAACAATAGAGAATGTAGGTAAATGCCTTGTTACTTGTTCTTCTTTCCTTTATATATAGTGTTAGTCAGCAGACACACCCTTATTGATTTCATGTGATTCTTCTAATTTTGCTCTGCGAGTGCCGATGATTACGTATTTACTATAAGTCATACTTTTTGCGTAGTAAAGAACACAGCAAATGTCCTAAGTGAACTTTCTTGCCATAAATCTTATATCATTGTTTGTGTTCACAAGAAAATGTTTTTAAATTTATTTTCACAGTAGAGAAAATGAAAAATACTAAGTCTAGATAACTTGATTTTATCACATATACGAGGTTTTGTACCTTAAAAAAAAACGAAATTTCATATAGCTTTTTTAATTGTGCGTGATTTTCTTTTCTCCTATTTTTGTGTTTATTGCTATGATGCATTTTACTTTTTGCACTTTGATCTATACATTGAGACAGTCAGCCACATGCTCTTATTTGTCTATTTATTTCTCTTTCTCAGCTGACTTGAGAGAGGCTTGGTTATTTAGAATTATTTGACGTTGTTTGTTATATTTTCCCCTTTGCACTTTCTTATTCTTAGTGCAAAATGCCTCTTATTATCAGCACATGGATGTCGGTCACGAGAAACAAGCCAAGAGAACGACATTTAGATTAGAAAAAAAAAGAAAACAAAAACAGACAGAATGAAAAAAAAAAACGTTTCTCGAAGAAAAAACATCGACAAACTAATAGTATGATGATGTGAATGTTGATCTTCACTCCATTCAAAACCCCATCGGCACTCAAATATTATAATTTAACAATACCAACAAGATAACATAAATATTTTACAAAGATCTTCGCATACATATACGTAAAGTAACGTCATGGCTACTGAGAAACTGGTCTGATTTACTCCATGATATATATAGAATTTTATATGGAAGTGTAATTACATAAATAAATGTTCAAGTTATGGAAACAATATCTCAAAGTAAATAAGCAATTTTGAACATGAGAAAAAATATACGAGAGACACTGTTTAATTAATAAGTAATAAGAACTGTTGCAAATGTTTTCAGAGAAAAAAATTTCTATTCATTATCCATCATCACTAATAAAAAGTGATCTATTGTTTACTTTCACTATCATACAATGCAGTAAAACAGTAATTCTATAATTAGTTTTTTCCTTTCTTTTTCGAGTTAAGATCGATATTCTATAGATTGAATTGATTTTTCTAAACATCATTTTAACTTGTTTTGAATCTTTCAAGTTATTCGTTAGTAATCTTTTTTCTGGAGAATAGAATTCAAATTTTATTTTCTGCAAATTGTAAAATCACTTTTATTAACTCAGTTCTCAAGAAAAAAGAATTTATTTAACCTTTATGAAAAGAATTCTTTGATTCTGTTCAACAATTATTTGCAGTGAAACTTTGTATGTATGCAAAAGTTAAAATAGACTTACAAGTGGCATAGCATACTTCAACAATATCCAAATAAAATCAGAAAAAAAAAGTTCGATAGAGAAGAAAATATATCTTATTCATTAGAACTAATGTTAGTCTTTCACAACAGAATACACTTCTTTCTTCTCAAGTTTCATGCAATTCACTTCATTAGAATAAAAAAAAACATAGTCGGTTAAATTTACCTCTTTAGTTTTAGTAATTTTTCAAGGATATGAATATAAATATGAAATTATTTATTATCTGTGGATGTTCGACTAATAAGTGTTTTTGGAATCAACATTATATATGATTTTTATACTTTTTAATGTTTCTAAATAATGTTGCTGTGTGTTGTAGATGATACCATAAAATATTCAGTTGTTATAAAACAAAAATAATTGAAAAATCGAACACGCTCAAACACTCAAGTTATTTCATTGTCGAGAAGTGTAGTAGAGGTGCAAAGATAAGTACCTAAAAGATTTCTGTATATATGCTTGCTAGATATGCCATGAACTATAACCTATATGTAACATGTCCGTAGCATGCAGTGTATGCATGATATTTTCCTCTTCTTACTACATCTTCTCATCTTGCGGATTGTCCTTATATTTTTGTCGTTACGTAGTACATCGTATTGTACTTTGTCCATACCATATTATACTTATTTTCTGTCCTTGTTATCGTTTCCTTTCCTTTCTCTTTTATGAAAGAGTATATAAGCGTATGCTTTCTATGTAAACGATGCGATTGTGGATATGAAGAAATACAATAAAGCGTAGTTCCATCAACGCTAGCTCTTCTTCTATCTAAAAATCGTCACACTATAGTTATTCTCAATGAAAGTAAAAAAGACAGACTAAACATAAAAAAATCAAGATTCAATTTGATTTCACATTCTTTTTCAAAGTCAAATTTTGGAGAGAAAAATTTGAAATTTTATCTTTTTTATCTGACAACTAGGACTACATTGAGATGTATAGATATATATTTTTAGTATAATAATATTTTGATGCTATTCGAAAGATCTTATGAAATTCTTCCTAGTCCAAACGATGTGGTTTTTTGACAGAGTATCTAGTATTTCAAAGAAATAAGGCAAATTAAAGCCATGCTTGGTCTTTTAGTTGAGACTTATCTACTTTGAAAATTTTAGAATTTTTGATCTAATCGTTCTTTCAAAACTTGGTTCATGATGAGGAAGTGATGGCTCTTAATGTAATACGATATTAATATAAAGAATTGCAAGCTATTTTTGATCTAAACCTGATCTTCAATGACTGTTAAATTTTCAAGTAAAAGTAAGTGGAATCGTTCAGATTTTTCATAATTAGTTATTTCTATCATCAATTTTGTCAAGCATATAGGTGGATTTGAAATGATTATCTCTTTTTTCATATGTTTTGGTAAAGTTTCTAGTTCTTCATCAGTTAATGATGGCTTCACGATCCATATTTTTTGACAATTCGGTCAAATTTGTACTTATTATCGAAATATTTGCATCGTGTGAAATCTTCATTGTTGCTACTAGTTCTATGTAGTATAAACAATAACCAACTGTTGATGCGCAGTTCTCCATAAAAAAATTACTCACAGGAAAGAAATTATTTGTGATATTTTTGTACTCTTCTATCAACATTTTCCCTGTTTATTAATTAACATCGATAAATAGTTTCTATTGTTTACTTGTATTCAATAAGTGTTAGAGAAATGTGTTACCTCTATACTTAATATTAACAAAAGTCAATCATTTCTTCTTCTTCTATAGATTCTATATTAACTAACGTGTCACGTAAAAATTGGTCATATTCGTTAAATATGTGTATATCATAAACTTGGTTTTTTCCGACTCAGCGATGATTGAGTTTCTGATGCATATGTGCATCATTGGCAATCAAAGAGTTCATCACTGTATGGCTTATTTTCTATATGATGTGATCATCTGTCGATAATCTTTTATTATACATATGGTGTGATTCTACCAAGACATAAATGCGCAAATGATTTCTCAAAACATAAGCTATATAATCAGTGCTAATAGTGAAGTGAATGAATGAAAGATTTATTTGCCTATGAATGTGAAACTAATAAATATATGAGCATTTGGTGTTTTTTTTCCATTCCATATAAAGTCGTATATGACACATCAGTAAGTATTTCAATTAGACATGGATGCGCAATCGCGATGCATTGTTGACAAAAAGTATATTTTGCTCTTGCACATTCTGTTTATTATGATTTATGTCTACTAATAAGAAATCTGATCTACTCGTCGTGGCACCTTATTATTGATCCTAAAAATGTTATTTTGGCTTACGCTTTCAGGTGAAATGGAGATGCCTGGTCAAATTGGGGATGCAGGTGAGTGGGGTGTGTGAAAAGAAGAGACATCCACACTCATACCCCATACTGTTTCTATCTTTATCATATCGATTTCATATGCGTCGGATGGCTTGAAGTTGTTCTACTTAGAGGTGAAAGAAGAGAGGAACAATATTTTATTTCTCTTTCCAACGTGTAAGATGGTATTTTAGAGCCGCAAGGAAGTGGATGCACTGTTGGTACCATTGGTCGAATGGTTACAGTACCTGTTGTTTTACCTAGAACTTCTTTAAAAACACTAGTATACTTTGATGGATGATCCAATTCGTATGTGGAAAAAACCCAACATCCTTATTCTTTAATAGTGTAGGTCGATAATCACTTGTACCATAAAATATCGTCTTGCTTTAAACTCTATTCAAATGAATAAATGTTACGTCTATATGAGTGTGAATTTGGGTGTGGACGGGCATGATAATAAGACTAGCAAACACACCCACACTCATATCAACACTCATCCGCATCCATCCAAATTATCAACAGCTATCGGTTGGATCTGATACAATGACATATGGTCATAGAGGGCATATTTAGAAATCAGTTGATTTCATTATACAAACAGAAATTTATTGATAATAAATATGTGTGCTAACTATCTGATAATTTATAAAATATGAATGATTAAATCGAG